ATTATTATATTAACATTTTGTTCATTGGCGTTTAAAAACATAAGTTGTTTAACTTTTGTAGTTGTTAACCGTTGAAATGGAAAAAACTGCTTATTTTATTAACGTTAAAACGTTTAAAAACCGTGCTTGTAAAAGCGCTTTTCACTTAAACGCTTTTTAGTTTGACGCTAAAGTCGTTTAGAAAAACGTTTAAGCGCATAGACTTCATGTTTAAAAAAGCTTGCAGCGTTATGTTGAATTAATTTGTTTAGGAAACATAGATGGCGCTACTTGAAACTTAGGCACGTTGTAAAAAATGAAACTATTGAATATTTATAGAACTAACCAGTAACCAACGCTTACGCTTAAAATGAAAAGCGTGCTTATGCGCTTATTTTAAAAAGCAGATTTTTAAGTGCTTTTCGTTTAAACGCCTCTACTTGTCACTGCTACACTTCAAAACGCACTCGTCCATTATCGTAGATAAACATCAGCCGAAAACGTGAAAAATGCATAATTGTGCCATTATAGACTGCAAAAGCACCATCACAGTGGGTAAAATCAACAAATACTTGAACAAAAATTGTTCTATTTGGAATCGATTAATTGAATGGAATAAGCGTGTTTACGCGTATTCCGTTCAATCAATCGATTTAGAGCGAGCGGAAAGAGGTTTCCATCACTAAATAGTTCTTGTGACGTCATAGTGGGTACAAAAAATGTGGCACGCTTGGTTTTCATACAAATTGCTGTACTTGCGGCGTCTATATAGATATATGTCTCTGACTAGAATAATGGGAGTTTCGTTGTCTACGTTCCAAAGACTACTCTACCCACTGCAAGATACATAAATATCACAAAACCAGGAAATAGCGGGTCAAGGTGCATAACTTCTCGAAACATTGTTTACTAAAATTAATGATTCGTAAAATCATCCCGACGTAGCACTGCCTACTGTTACGTTAGCATACCAGATTACAAGCAATTTAAACAACTTATTAACTAACTTTTAAAATCTAGGGTGAGCCTTTGTAGTTTCTAGTAATTCCGAAGTATATAATGTCTCTGTCTATCGACGTAGCTGTTAAGGAATAAATTAAATGTCTAAACGAATCCAAGAGAAAGTGCGGACCTGCCGGGCGGTGATATGGCGATGGCGGCAACTAGTGGACCGAAACCCGGTAGAAACCGCATCGACGTATAATTTTCACTAGGTACAAGTAGGACCTGTGCGGTGACCTGCATTATGAAGCTCTCTCTGATAAGTGGTCATTAGTTGTAATGAATTAATAACTGATTGTAAAACTAACAGCAGTTAGTCCTGTTAATTGCATTTGGCGCTCTGATTACTTTATCGTTTATATTCAATGTAAAGAATGTTACCATATTATAATGTTAAGCTAATAGTGATGGCATGTAGTAGGCAGGTAATTAGGATGGAACAGCAGATATTATTTTCGTGTTTCTTTAGGGGAATCACCACGCTAAAAGTTCTTCATATTAAAGGGTACTATCATCATCACTATCCTATAACAGTGGATGTCGTCGGCTACATTCGTATAACTCGATAAGAACGGCCCGAAGTACATACAAAGTGTCAAGCTTGATGTGCTCTTGACTGTACATCCGTCAATGTGAGCTTTTAAGTACTTAGGCAAAAAAACAGAATTACAAGAAATAATTACTTACATGATAATCTATGATTATACGTTGATAAGTATAAAAGGGTCTAGAAATTATATTTTAAACTATAATTGCGCGATATTGCGTTTGAACAGTAAAAAAGAGATTTCGTTCAAAAACAGGATTATGAGGTTACCAAGCTGAAGTTTTCAGCTGGTGTTTTTCATGTCAATTTTCGCACGTGCTAATCAAGTCGAATATTTGGCTATTCGGCTATTCGGCCACGTTCTTAGCAGAATATTGGTAAAGCCGAATTATACTTTTTCGTTTTTTTATGATATCAAGTAAGGGGACGAACACAGACCAAACAGTGGGGACGAACACAGACCAAACAGTGGGGACGAACAAGTCGTGCGCTCGGTGGTAAGCGACACGCTTGTCTATAGTAATTGCAGCGCCCCTAAACGTGAAGTGAAACAGGTAAGGCGGCTGAACTTCCCTGGATGAACTCTTTCAGAAGGAGCTCTACTGAGACTATAATGTATACTTCGTTGCAAGATACACGAGTTACATGTACAATGCTAACAATTAATCGTCGTCTTGGAATGTGACTAAGCTATGCACGTGCTCGTTCGCTTCAATTTAAGAGTTAAATGATTAACTTGCTACAGCGGCGTCAACTCGATTGTTACAATTGTGCTGCCGTCGGTTTGTGGGATGTCGGTCCACTGATGGTGCAATACATAAATGAAGTACAATCACGACGCCGTAATAAATCTAAATCAATGCACATAACAAACAGATAGATATTATTTACAACGTTGTAACACTGCTCGTTCGGATTACGTATTTTTTTTTTCAAAGATTAAACATCAAATTGATGGAGAGACGAAACCACTACTAAACCAAATCATTTGTCTAAAGTACTACAGCAGCCAAGTTTGCCAATCCACATTGTTTTTAAAAAAGTAAACAAGTATATTTACGATAACTGTGAGTATCGCGTATACTTACAAGAAAACAAAGCGGCTTTGGAGTGGCAGCGTTAAAAAAATGTTAATTTGGTACAACAATGGTAGATTCCTCCCATTAAGCAAATGTATAGGTACTGGGAAAAATTGACCACCCCATAAAGTTTTCTTTAAAGCCATTGAGGATACTTACGTTATATATGGGAATGCTTACGTATACCTAACAACGTATATAGGTAATTTTCGGGTCTCAATTCGGTTGTGAAACCTTTCGACATTTTAAGTTTTCGACATTAAAGTCATCTCGTGTGTTTATTTCTCTTTACTTTGGAACCGATCGGCCTACAATTGCGTACCTAAGTGTCGTTTTATCGCCATATTATTATTATTTATATTATTTTTCAAATAAATTATATGAAATTTGACCCAAAATCCTAACGCGATGACACACACGTAACACGGCGGTTGCGTTAGGAACAGCAAAAATTTAATTTGTCGTTCCCAATATGATCCCCTTTTCGTGACATACCCCGCGACGCCGTTCCACTTCATAATAATTGATCACAATAATGTAGAAAAAGTATTGAACAGTAAACAAAATCAAGATCAGCCACAGTGAAAACAGGCAAACAATAGCAGGCATTTTTCGCGGTCATTTATACATAATGAGTGGCTTAAAAAAAGATTTCTCTTTACATCCTAACTTCTTTTTTGAAAAGGTGTATGTCTTTCATGCAACGTTCTTTGAACGTAATCCTCAACAAATGCTTAAATCTACAAAATATTCGTGATTGTAAGCAAATACGAAATGCGATGTTTCAAATCAGATTTAATTAATATTAGCAAAAAATGTGACCTGATTTTGTCTGCATATACATTCATGTATTACGTAGCGCATTTACGTAAAATTCCCTCAAATAATTCGCCAATGCGATAAAACTATTCATTGCATCCAGGTGTATTGCCACGACTCTTCGAAGCTCCTGGACTATCAATACCTATTTGTTAATAATCTAAAACTATGTAAAGACTTACCACATCGTTCCAGCCATCCCTCCGCACGACAGGGGTACGGTATCTCCATGTTGTTATTGCGACTAAATCTCATATTAATCACTTGGTTGTATCACTAACACGATTCAATAATTCAAAGTTTCACGTTGTTTACCTCCGGGACGACACTGAGCATGACAATATTTCACATTTCACTACAGTCCACTTGTCGCGAATTGGTCGGTGTCGTAACTACACTAGCCAGCGACGACGGAGGCGTCGACGACGACACGGCGCAGCTACAGACTCCTCCGCAATTCACTTTCACTAACAACAAGAAAACATTCTATAACTATGCTAATCATTCCAATCGATCCGGTTAAGACGATGTTCTAATGCTGCCACAGAGTCGAAGTTCAAGTTTTGTTCTTTCCCAATCTCTCCAATCCGCTATGAAGTTATATTTTGAGTACGTGTGTGCAATTACGCCTATCTGGCTTGAAGTTTAGTTTGATTTATGTGCTTGTTTCTACAGCCATTTATCATAGATTAAAAAATATATGTTGTAGTAGGTACAGTAGCAAATTCGGAGGTCAACGTACTCAAAGGACATCGATCTGATTGATTCTGAATAAATTTGAAAGACAAGGGAATTTGTAACTACATAAAAGAAAAATAAATTTTGCGTGTAATAATATCAAAAACTAAGTTAGGTATAGGTCTATCTATTAAAATAAAAGGAATTGCCTATAGGTATGCCATTTTTTAATAAACATCATTCGTATTTTATTACATATGTATATTCCTGCTTCAAATACACAGACAGAACATAAAATTAAATATACATTATTTACCTTTATTTCTCCTTTTAGATGCGTTCTGTAGCGTATCCCATTTTTTTCGCTGCAAATGGATTTATTTTACAAGCACGTGATAATCATTTTCAAATTGCTAACAATACATCCTCTCTACACACAAGTACACAAAAAACTGATTCGTTTCGTTCGTTCATTGGCTTTGAATCCTCTCGGGGCCTTCCTTCGCTTCATTGCTTTACTCCACGGGAGTGAATGAGATGACTGTTTGCTCCCTCTCTCCTTTGCTTCTCATACGTGTAGAATGAGAGGCATAGCAATGTCGTCATCGGTATTGATCTCCCCTGTGCAGTAGTAGTTCTCACCATTCATGATAAGAAGTGCGAACGCAAATATTTATGTCGAAAACAGTGTAGAATCTTTCTACATCCTTGATTCAAGAAATATAACAAATAGCTGAAGAGTTTTTCTTTTTCAGTGCATGTAATTTTCAAATTGAAATGTTTTTCTTATTCGATATTTGCAATTGAAACCAAAGACAAGGTGAATGAATTGATAGTCTTTCTAGCAAATTGTCACTGTCAATTTTTAATCTCTACGATTTAGTCTATTACCCAAAATGGCGCTGAAAGCATTAGTCGGGCAAAGTGAGTAAAATATTATAAATTTTAGCTTATTCTAGCCTTGTGTTTCATTCTAACTGGCATAATATTACGTAATATATGGAGTAATGTATAAATACAACTGTTAAGGTATATACCATTTGTTGTGACATCGAATAATCTTGTATTATCGATGACTAATATCGCCACTACTTACTCATATTTATTAAGAATTTTGTACATCACGAATCATTTTGTCATTAAACCATGTAATTTAGAGCTGTTACATATTTTTGCACTAGTGATTTTGTGGTGTAGTTACGAAATGTAAACAAACTTTGACAGTTTGACAGGCAATTTTGGGAAGTTTTACAAAAACTCGATAACACTAATGATTTAAAGTGTCCCGTCCGTATCTTGTACTTTAAAATGTTATAATTTCAACGAATTTCACTTAGGAAGGCGTGGGAACAATGTGTGACGAAATTATTGATTTTCTTTGGATTGAGGGGGTGGGGACTGCCTCTCGCACGTCACGGAGTGGACGCAAAACCATTGTTTTCATGACCGCGATGAAATTCTTTCTGCCGTCATTTCAAATTATATATAATAATAATAATTTATTTAGCAAAGCCTAATTACAGAATAGATAACTAAAATTAAACAAGGTGCAAAATATTAGGCTGTACAATTAATTTTAGGGTAAATGACCATATGCAAACTTATAGGGGATAATGATTAGTGCAAATAGTCGCAATACATTCTGAATACCTATGTATTTATAGGTGGATTATCTTTAAGAAGACAGAAATGTGTTAAACCTTCTGCAGCGTGCGAATAGCGCTGTGTATGCCCTTCACATCATTATACAGCACTGCATTATGTATACGTATAGCAAAGCATGTGTAACTACTATCCATTGGGCATTCCCAAGTAGATAATTTTACCATTAAATGTGGAGAATAAATTATTTGCGCGTTTTTTAAAATGCTGAGATAAATTATTATTAATTGAAAATTGAACAATATTTAAATTTGCATAGTCATTTATTGATTGGCTCATAAAATAAATAATAAATTATTGATAGGAATTTTGTTATACCAGCCCCCGTAACATAGCTACGCATGATAGTCGCGACGCGCGCGATAAAACTAAAATAAGCGCGCGCTATTGGCTATCTGAATCAGATCTAATTTAGATAGCCAATAGGACGCGCTTATTTCAATTTTAACGCGCGTGTCGCGACTCTCATTAAATTAGAACTTGTAGTACTGAGCTTCATCATTCCTAATGTACTTGACTAGGAATGGTATATTCCATCTGTTTCCCGAAAGTTACTATTTAGAGCCATTCGAGGGTAGATTGAATAAGCAATTACTAGACAAATGCTTAAAGTGAGATTGTGGCCAACTGTTTATGCAATATTACAAAAATTATACACCATTTTAATATTTTCAGAGATTATGAATGAGGTGATTCGCTACCGTCCCAAAGGGAAGGATTCAACAAAAGTTGAATGGAGAGTTCTAGTAGTGGACCAGCTTGCCATGCGCATGGTCTCAGCATGCTGCAAAATGCATGACATCTCTGCTGAGGGCATTACTTGTAAGTTAATTTATTAATTTAATTATTTTTGCTTGCTGAAGTATTCTTACTGTTCGTATATATGGCTTATACATCTGGTTCAGTTCCAAATGAATAGAATATAGAACTATACATTGGGTGTACACAAATTACATTCAATTGAACTGTGTAAGTTCCTGCATAGCTTAATTCAAATGGCACTCCTATTTGAGATCATCATGTTGATTGTTGTAACTATCTATATTATAATACCTAGTACTAACAAGGTATAGTTAGCTAGCAAAATATCACCTCATTGTGATGTAGGCTACACTTTAGCATGGAGAAAGATTTAATTTGAACTTGTTGTGGTAATCAAATATTGCCACAATGAAACCATGGGCATGACTGTTTGAAATATGCTCAGCTGTTCTTTTTCACACTGTTGATGTTTCTTTATTTTCGAGATTCTGTGAACAAATTAGGATACCTTATAATTTTATCATGTCTGTTCATCTCTCTGTGTGTCACTACCACAGCCTTATTGCTTGCTACTTGTATGTTTGTGCAAGATTCGTGACAGTTTTAAATAAACATGTATATTGACAACCCAGATTAAAGGACTTTGAAGTGCAACAAAAATTGTTTCAGGGCCATTGTATGTATATTCAGTGTTAACAAAGCACCCTGAAACCTCTTTATTTTCGAAATACTGTTATAATAAATCAGCCGCATTGTAAATTGAGCCTTAAAGACTCTACCAATGTTAATTGCTGAAATGAATGACAATGAACTCAACAAAAGTGCTTTTATTGTTGCTACAATATATGGTACTCTACTGAGTGCGCAACATGTTCTTAGCGGTGTTTTACTTTGGGAAAACTTCATTCTTCTTTATTGTGAATGCGCTAGTACTTTTACGGCATACATGCTATCCCTTTCACAGTGGTAGAAGATATCCACAAGAAGCGAGAGCCCCTGTGTACGATGGACGGCATCTACCTCATCACGCCGGCGCAGAAGTCCGTGGACGCTATAATCAACGACTTCGCGGTCGGCAATCGTATCATGTACAGGGCTGCCCATGTGTTCTTCACTGAAGGTGCGCACCTTCATCTTTATTCTTATTTATTTATATATAATACTGAGTTTAAATATCCATCAACATTGTCTGATGTCCTACAGTCAGATTTTTAATTTAAGATTAAAACAGAAGTTTAGTGACTTGCTAGATTTTGATAAAATAAATAGTGTTGTCTTAACAGTAATAAATAATCAATCAATGGTCGGTGTTCCACATATATAGATACATGCATAGATGTAGCTATAAGGAGTGACATAGAGTTGTTAAAACCACCAAATATTAATTACCTTTTTTGAATTCCGGGTTTCGTCATGAAAGAAACTCGTCTTTTTATTCTATTTATCAAGATAAATAGCCGTGTATGGGTAAGGCCGTCAAAAGTGGCACTTTTTCGTCTTGTTTAAGCATCCACCTTAAACAGTTTTTTAATTAAAATAATCTAATGTAAACATTTTATTTTTAAAATACAAAATTTCTGATAGTGGTTCGAATTTATGATCATCTGTAATACTGTGTATTTGAATTTAAGTCAAGTATTTTTAGAGTGCGATCACGATGATTCTCATACACAACTTTTTAGTTTTGTTTATCCGAAAATGCTACGAGGGGAGGTCCAAAAGTCCGCGGAATGGAGGGGTTGTAAATAATATAAAACAATAAGGCTATTTTTCCTTTTCAATATTAATTACCTTTGAGCTCAATACATTTTTTAGATCTCGAAATTAGCTTTTCTATGCCATCGAAAAAATATTTTTTCTCTTTGCTCTCAAAATGAGCTGTTAATTATATTATATAAATAATAAAATTGCTGCCTTAACCTCTTCATCGTCGCGAAATTTTTTCCCACGTAATTCTTTTTTCAAATTTGGGAACAAATAAAAATCGCTGGGGGCTAGGTCCGGGCTGTAAGGTGGGTGGGTCAGCGATTGAAAGCCACACTTGTGTAGAGCAGCCATCGCAACATTGCTCTTGTGAACCGGTGCGTTGTCTTGCAAAAGCAACACACCCTTTGTCCATTTTCCCCACCTTTTTTCTTTGACAGCTTCCTTCCGTCTCTCTAATGTTCTTGCGTAATATTCTCCCGTTATATTGACCCCCTTTTCTTTGTAGTCAACCAATAAAATTCCTTCACAATCCCAAAAAACCGTAGCCATGATTTTTCCAGCCGATTCCGACACCTTAAACTTCTTAGGGGGTGGTGTACCCTTTTTATGCCATTGCATTGACTCCTTTTTGGACTCGGGCTCAAAGTGATGAACCCAAGTTTCATCTCCAGTAACAATTTGCTCCAAAATTGGGGTAGGTCCTGCACCACACAGCTCCAAGAAGTGCTTTGAGGCATCGATTCTTTGTTGCTTTGTTTGTGGCGGCGTGAGCATTCTCGGCACCCATCTTGCACTGACTTTCGTCATGCCAAGATGATCGTGTAGGATCCTCAAAATGGTAGTGTCTGATACTCCTACTAATGCAGACAGCTGTTTCTTCTTCAGACGGGCATCTTCCAATATAAATTTTTCGATTTTTTCAACATTGTCTGATGTGGTGGCCTCAACTGGCCGTCCTGGGCGATGATCGTCTTCAATTGATTCTCTGCCATGTTTGAAAAGACCGTGCCACTTGTAAATCATTGTTTTACCAGGGCACTGATCCCCATAAACAGTTTCCATCTCGTTCATAATGGTTTGAGGAGGTTTTCCTTGCTTGGTAAGGAATTTGATGACAGCACGAAACTCGATTTGCTCCATATTTGCAGTTTTCTTCCGGATTTACTTGTTTGTAGGGCGATATCTCGTAAACTAATGAAGTTAAAAGGGTGAAGCTTGATATATATACCCCTAATGAGTATCTGATTAGTACCACATCAAGCAAGCGTAATTAGCGGGCTCCCGCCCCCTCCATTCCGCGGACTTTTGGACCTCCCCTCGTAATTCTAGCTAATGTGGCCGTTCCGTCAATGTGACCGTCAGTATGCGGTATCTAAAGCTAGGGAGGGGCGGAGAGTGACCAGTCTCGTTACTTTTTTATGTTTCGTAAAAGATCAGTTATCTACTGCATTTTTACATGGCACCATTAGAATTGCTTTAAAATCCAACTTAGACTTCCTAGGTCAGTAGTTTTGTCCTACGATGCAATGTAACCATTTCCGGAAATCCGGAATCCGAAATAGTAATTAATTAATATTTGGTAGTTTTAACAACTCTATGTCGCTCCTTCTAGCTATATCTATACATGTACATATATGTGGAACACCTTTTTCCAACCATTGGTAATAATAGAATCGCAAATAACTTACTAAGTATTTTTATAAACCTGAACCTGTAACATGAAATTACAGAGTAAATTGTCGCTAGCGAACGCGTAAAATATTTGCATGGCAAATTGTACTTCCTTTCGTGACTCGTGGGGACTAATAACCTTTCAGTCGAGGTGCATTTAATACATACATATGTGAGTACAATGTCATCTATAGCCGCGGGCAATAAATTTGGATAGTTAAGAGTATACAACCTCAAAGGGCTTTTGTTGATTCCGCATAACAGTGAAATTGTTAAATCAATCACTTTGGAAAAAATAAATAGTAAAATTGAGGATATACACTGATTATTACTACATTGTGTGAAAACACGATTTCTAAAATTTTTCACGAAAGAAATAAACGCAAACTTGTCTCAAAA